ACTCTGTAATGTATGAATTGAATGAAGATAACATAAAGCACAGGTGTACATCTGTGACACAGATATATATATAGATATATATATATATATATACCTCAATATGTTATAGTGGGTATAACAATGTCCTTTCTGAAATTACAGACTTTCGTTAGATAAAGCCAACATACATGCGGTACATCTTCAGGTACTTGTGCTAGATGCACGGCAGAGTTCAAATTTGATTATATTAAATATATGGATTTAGACATAATATACATAATGAGAAAAGGTTCATTATTTCTAAACTTGATATGTTTGCCATGTCATGAATTATACCTCTGCTTCAAAGAGGAAGTAAACATGTAATTATGAGTATATTAATAATTTTAGCAAGTGTTCAGTATATTTAGTAGTCCGTGATACAAACTCCAAGGATTCTTCTTGGCCTCCTTTTCTATAGGAGCCGAGATAGCACAGTCTGCATAGTGGGTAGCTGCGAGCTGGATAGCGAAGGAGTTGGAGTTTGAATCCTAGTAGGGTCAAGAATTTTCTCTTCTCCATGTCATCCAAACGAACTCTGGGACTCACCCAGCTTCCTGTCCAGTGAGTATGGGGGATGTTTATGGCCGCGCCATAGCTCAAGTGGTTAGTCGCTGGCTTCCCACCGCGGCGGCCCGGGTNGTTAGTCGCTGGCTTCAAGTGGGATTTGTGGTGGACAAAGTGGAGCTGGGGCGGGTTTTCTCCAAGTACTTCGGTTTCCCTTGCCAATCTTCATTCCATCAAATTCTCCATCATCATAATCACCCGGGACAGGTACAATAGGCCAATCAGTGGGCGCCGTGCCGAGTGGACCCAGATGGACTCCAATCCTCACTAAGCGAATTTAAATTTAAATGGTGAGATATTTCCCCAGGCGTAAAGCGGTCGGGCGTGAAGCCGACAACTCACCTCCAACTAGTCAAAAATACATGGATTCATACATCCACGCCCTGAATGTCTTCAGGGCATTTTCCGTACTTACTGTTCTTTAGTACCATCAACATTCTGTTTCCCTTATACTGAATGAAAACAGGTAAGGTAAAAGGGAAAGTTGTTCCTGTGCTCAACGCTATGAAAGCGTATGGAGTAATGGATGTATAGATCCACATTTTTTTTTTTCACCTCGGCACTAGCTGGAGGTGAGTGGTCGGAGAGGAACGCAGACACAGATATTATTCCATATGTTTTGATCAACATTTTTAGGCGAGACATAGGTGGAAGATACCGAACCAAATACTACCAAACATTGTCCACATTTAATTTGCTTTTAATTTATTCATCATTGTAATGCTGATTGTTACTGTAATTCATAAGGGGAGCCGGGATAACGTAGTCGATATAGCGACTGCCTACGGGCTTGACGATCGAGGGGTTGGAGTTCAAGTCCCGGTAGGGTCAAGAATTTTCTCCGCTCCACGTCGTCCAGATCAGCTGTGGGGTCCATTCAAACTCCTATCCAATGGGTGACGGGGGCTCCATCCTCGGGGGCAAAGCGGCCGGGGCGTGAAGCTGACCACTCACCTCCAGCTAGTGTCGATGTCAATATATATATCTACTATATATCTATATATCTACTGCCCCATACGCCTTCATGGCGTAGTGCTTAATTAGTTAAGTTCTGTACTTTATAAATTTAAGCTTCACAAATTTCGTAAGTATTTATTGGCCCCAGAAAGTAATGAAACCCTCCATCCCTGTCTGTTATTTTGAATTGTATTTTAATAGTAGAGAATAAATATTAAGATCCCCGTTTGTAAGAAAGTATGCATTTTGTGGTGTGCTGACACAGACCGCACGCAATTTCCTGGTGAGTTACCTAGGGGTGAGGTTGTTGACCTTACATCACATTACCTCTTTTAGATAATTCTGGCCTTGAATTACATGAAAGATGGAATATAAGTATGTTTACATATCTCTGTTTTCTTACTTTTGATATGGATTCAGGTTTTGGGGGTATTAATTTATTTTCTTATCTTATGAAGTGGAGTTCAGAGACCGCGCCATAGCTCAAGAGGTTAGGGGCTGGCTTCCCTCGTATATAGGAAAATGACAGCTAATAAAGATACGAAAAGGTTGGAGACAGATCTGAACAGATTTCGGGAATGAGCGGCTGAAAATGCGATGATAATTAATCATCTTATGTATTATATATTGATAATTAATCCATCTAAAAGTAAGGCAGTTTGTTTCACGAGGGCCCAAGTGACGGAACCGCAAATTTGTTCGTTAGGGGACACGGCAATTCCTGAAGCGAGCAGTTGTAAATATCTGGGAATAAACATTATGTTAATTTTCTACTAGTTTTTGTGTGCTGTGTTTTGTTTGTCTGTTCTCTTGTTGTAGTACCACTGCCACCGGGTGAAAACCAATTTGCAGTTAAATAATAATAACTATATTAAAACTGTAATAAAATTAACATAATAGTAGTTCTGCATAAAGAATTTCCATGCATTCGAAAATTCTGGGTATTAGTCGAAACTGACAGTAAATTAAGAATATCATTTGAAAATTTGAAAGACTTGAAGTAATACGCAAACTGAAATTTTGTTTCATATATTATTAATCAATGTGTGGGAATGACGGGGTAACGGAGGGGAAGGGGGTCCGAGCTTGCTGATAACGTTACTCTCGCCTGGTTATCGTCGTCGTCTTGTTTCCACTTGCCGCTCACAGATGGCAGGGAGGTGGGCCTTCATTAATCAGCAAGCTTATGGCGATAGCTTGATATTGACACACAGTTTGAAGAGCTCTGTTTTCTGGGATGTAACGCCATGTAGTCCACAGAGTGTTAACCGACATTTCGGAGGAATACATCGCCTCCATCTTCAAGGTTGAAAAATAATCGGAACATGAAATAACTGGAGCAAGCGACAAACACAATGAAACGCGCTCCCTCAAAGCTGGACACCTTTTGTGGTTCTGTTACTACTCGTTATTCAGCTGGCTAGTGGTTACTGTGCTGCTGGGAGTGACAACCAAATTCATCGGTGTTTTCTGTGAGTTTGGAACAAAATATTTAAAGCTGGCTACAAAACATTCATTACTGCTTGATTCTCATGCAGCCTTCGCAACCGAAATTCGTCGAAACTAAGCCCCATTGCTCTCAACACAACCAAATTTATTTTCCTAAATCATACAGTACAGTGTTCATTCAGAAAATCATATTCTGCCTTCCCTCTCTCAAGAATCACCCTGCATTCTCTAGCAGCAGTGGTTGTATCCTCGTGATCGGGAGGTCTCGGCTAGACAGCTGAGTACCAGGCATGCAGCTTACTTGAGAAATTATATCAAACAAAAAAAAAAAAACTCCGTGGTCTGTAGTCCGCAAGCGAACTATACCGACCGAACGACCGCCGCTTGTCGGCGAAGTTAGTGCCAACTTTAGCGGATAGAGGGTCTCGCGTGTTCAGAGCAACGGATCCCCACGGCCGTTAATCTCGGTTTTCTAGACCGGAGCCGCTATTTCCTTCAAATAGCTCCTCAATTATCCTCACGAGGCTGACTGGACCCCGTTCCAGACCCACTACTTTTCTGAAAATCTGGTAGCGTCGGGAATCGAACCCGGGACGTCTGGATCTGTAGGCTGGAACTCTGAGTATTAGATCACAGAGCCGGTCTAATGGTATGAAACATGCACAAATTAAAACTTATTTAATTTCCAGTCTCTGCAATCTGTGAGAGGTTTCCCATTTCAATCTGCTTTAATAGGGTGAAGCTGTCATCACGTGACAACTGCAACCTCCCGGAATCACGATTCTTTCAACCCCTATAGATGTATACAGCCACAGATATTGAACACCATCTCAGCATGTTAGACACGTGAGCGGCAACCATTAGTTCCCTGTAGTACATCTGCAAGCGACAGCTTTCATTCTGAGATCATATCCTTGACTAGAAAATAAATCTGTGAATATTCTATCTAGAGAAATCTCTTAGTAAGTTTCGTTCCTTGCTGCTGTTGCCTACTTCATTTCTGTTGTGAAATGTACAGGGTGTAACTGAAACGCGCGGACAAATTTTGGGCACGAGCTCCACGCACCAAAACAAAAAATGTCCATATCAACATGTGTCCGGAAACATTTCGTTTGTGGGTTACAGCTGAAGGAGTACATTAATAGTAAACGCTGAAAATGTTCTCCATGAGATTCCATGTACTCCTCGACACGTTTCAACACGGACCGCCTTATTCGTTAAAAGATTCCGGGTTAGTTGCGGATAATCCTTCTCCTGCATTCAGAAGAAACCAGCCAATATTCCATGCCAATTTGTGTCTGGTTGCTCCCTCTCGGGTGATTCCTTGCAACGGCTGAGTTTGTTGCTTCACGTTTAGGAACAGGCAAGTTATGTACACTTAATGTTCCATGTATGTTTGAGGTTCTCACAGCGGTGGATAGGAAGATTTCTGTCTTCTGGGATTTAACGTAGTGTAGTCTCGGAGAAAAATTGCGACTTCATCTTCGGGATTGAAGAGTAAACCAAAAAAGAAACCAGAGTGAAGCAGGTAGGAAGTAGTTTTAACCCTGAAGATGGAGGCGACATATTCCTCCGAAATGTCGATTAAATTTCAGCGGATTTCACGGCGTCATATTCCAGAAGATATTACTTTACACACTGTTCTATCTCACAAATTTGTATTCGTATTTGAATGATAGAGAAATAACCTGATTACTTAAATTACTTCTTCATTTGTTTCAGCGAAGATGTAATTCCAGTTTTCTGTATTTCTCCAAGTTTTGTAAATTTTGGGCATATATTTAGTTTTAGCACTAGTAAAAGTACACACCCAACACGGCTGTCATGCCGTCATTACAGTATTAAGGAGCAGATGACGATGAAAATTAATCACATTTTTACCCCGAAAATGGAGGCAGAAGTTTCCTTCTAAACGCTTATAACTATCTACCGAACAACACAGAGTCATATCCATGAAAACTGCAATTGTAATAGTCATCACCACAAGAACATCAAGGTTTACTCCTTTTGTGTATATTGTGAATTCTCTTACTTAACTTTCCTCAATTTTGAACTGTGTTTGTTGTACCAGGTACCGAAATATTTCTGCTTTCTTATATTCAAACCGGAGCATGCTTTTCATGTCAAGTGTTCGCATAGGTTATTGGGAAGTATAATTCCCACGTTAATTCTCTCGCATTGTTTCACGAGAAATATAATTTTCCGCCATAAAGAAAAGTGCGCTCAACGTAGAAACAAAGATGTCTTCACCATGTCATCAGCTTTGTGTCACAAAGCGGTTTCGTTGTCTTCCTGGATGTTTGTCCTTGGTTTGTACGAACAGCGTTCAGGAACGACAGAAATGACGGTAGCCGTGCTACTGGAGCGAGTCACAAATGGGTCTGGTCTCGTGTCTATGTTCTGCATCTCGTTCAACGCGTAAGGATTATTCTGTAGTGAGTTTCTTCTTCTAACGGAAATCCTCGACTTGGCTGAGCGGTTTACAGTCCTGGATCGCCGCAACGAACATTTCTCTAGTCAGCTGTCGGGGTTCGCTGTAACGCTGAGAGCCTTGGTGGTGGTTCGAGTGGAGCTTCGTCTCATCAGAGATGAGGTCTGATGACGCTGACTCCCTCTACCCCTGCCTCCGCCACGAATAGAGCAACACAGAAGCTCCCTCATCCCTTTACGGAAATTACGTGACATGAAGGCGTATAAAAGAGGATTGATTCCAGAATTGAAATAAGCGACAAGAAATGTAAGAGGTGTGAAGAGGGAGGAGAAAGTGCTACCTCCATCGTAATCATGAGACCAGTACTGCCACATCTTGCGGGCGTGGTATGGCAGGTTGCAGATTGCGAAGGTCAGAACGACGACTATAAGCATTCTTATGACGCCACGCCGTGCTCTCAGAACTTTCTGTGAGGAAGACGTGTGGTATGATTCTGAGATCAGGGATGATCCAGGCGAAGATTTGCTGCGGAAGACAGCGGAACCGCTTCCCCCACAAGCACTGCTAATTCGGTTAATTGTGACCTGACTCCCTGACACTGGACGCTTTTGGAACCTTATCTTCAGTGAGGGTCCATCACCTCTGGAACTAAACATGACAATAAATTATTAAAGTCTTCCTTGTGTTGAGGAGCTGTGATGAATTTCATGAATGACAAGTATTAGCCTAGATTTCTATTTCATATTTTGGCATCATTTTTTTTTTAACTGGGGAAATACATAATGTTGGGAATCGTAGACTCAGCGCGGCGCGATAACGCACGCGTTGCCAGACACCCTTCCCCATAGTGACGTAACAGCATAGGGGCCGCTGCTGCTAGGGGCAACAGGCCAGTAAACACTTCCCCGCTGTGACGCAACAGCAGAGGAGCTGTGTTGAATATCATGAATGACAAGTATTAGCCTAGATTTCTATTTCATATTTTGACATCATTTTTTGTTTTTTATAAAACAGGGGAAAACATACAGTTTATATACTTGGAAGTGGATTGGTTGGCGTAAGGAGGTAAAAGAAGTAAAGTAGCCCCCCCCCCAAAGAATATCTTGGTATCATTATATTCTTCCAAAATTTCTAGTAATTTCGTTCATCATACACTTCTTACACATTGCTAACACTACATAGTTTTGTGCCATACCAATACTGCTGTTTGAAGAAGAAAAAAATCGTGGCTTTTAGTCCGCAAGCGAACTATACCGACCGAGCGACCGCCGCTTGTTGGGGAAGTTAGTGACAACTTTATCGGATAGAGGGTGTCGCGTGGCCAGCACAACGAAACCCCACGGCCGTTAATTTCGGTTTTCTAGATCGGAGCCCCTACTTCCTTGAAATAGCTCCTCAATTATCATCACGAGACTGAGTGGAACCCGTTCTAGACCCAATACTTCTCTCAAAATCTGATAGCCCCTGGAATCGAACCCGGGACTTCTGGATCTGTAGCCAGGAACTCTGACCACGGAGTTTTGAAGAAGAAAAGGGTACCACATTCTGTCCAGCATCTCGTGGTACAAGTTGGGTGACAGGGAGATCCAGTGGAAGTGTAGGTCAGAACAGGAAACAGTTTAATTTACGAGATGCTGTACCTGATACTCACGTCTGACTGAGTGGGGACGAGGTTCCGTTAGTCAGGTAGTGCCGCTCTAGTCCCCAGCTGCTGTGCCACAGCGTGACGGCGATGAGGGAGTACAGCACCATCATGACGGCGAGTGGCGCCACATACAGCACGGAGAAGTTGATAATGTCGAACAGCTTCGAGTCGTACTTCCGGCGCTGAGTGATGCAAATTGTCTCCGTCATGCCATTCGACAAGTTTGTGGTGACAGTCCCCACCCAGATAAAACGAGGGAAGGAGTATAGAGCACTGGCTACCCATACCACAACCATCACCATCTGAAACAGTCCCATTCACACAGATTTCAGAGTTTGTTACAAAGCTGTAAAATGACACTCAGGTCAAGGTCACGAAACCTCCTACTCGTTCACTAACGGTCTAGCAAATCCCTCCCCCCAAAATTACGTCAACACACAACCCCACCCTATCTAAGATTCATTTTAATATTATCCACCCACATACATCTTGGTCTTCTTAGTGGTATCTTTCCTTCTGTCTCTCCCACCAGTATCCTATATACATTCCTTTTCGCCCCCATTCATGCTACATTCCCTGCTCATCTCATCCTCCTTGACTCGATCATTCTAACTATACTTGGAGAAGGGTACAAGTTATGAAGCTCCTCATTACGCAGTTTTCCCCAACCTCCTGTCACTTCATCTCTCTTCGGTCCAAATATTCTCCTCAACACCCTGTTCTCAAACACCCTCAGTCGTTCCCAAAAATTTGGAACATTACAACATTTTCAACGATCTGTTTCCTATCTTTTCTGCATTCCGGTGACGAGACAGTGTGTACTTCTAGACCAACCTCCTTACTTGCATCAGTTCTTTATGGTATCTACATTATCACCCAGTAGATTCACATCATCATCGTCATAGACAACAGCTGATGTGGCCCGTTTAATTTCAGTCCCACCTGGTTTTCCTGATTCTTCTTAATGACATAATCTAAGGCAAATTTGAAAAGCAGTGGCGCTAAAGCATCTCCTTGTTTTAGACAATTTCGGACAGGAACATTATCAGACAAACGTTTATCTGTACGGACTTTACTATACGTTTCGTTTATACACATTTTTATCAGCCTAACTAGTTTTATGGGTATCCCAAACTCTTATCAGAATATTGTACAATACTTCCCTCCTAACTGAAGCATAGGCTTTCTTGAAGTCTACGAAAAGCTGATCTACTGTCTCATTGTACTCCCATTTTTTCTGCAGTATCTGACGAATGCAAAGATCTGATCTGTAGTTAATCAGTTACCTCGAAACCCACACTGATGATCCCCAATAATTTCATCTGCATACGGATTTAACCTTGAGAGAAGAATATTGGATACAGTTTTGTATGAAGTTGATAGCATTGATATTCCGCGATAGTTACTGCATTCAGTTTTGTCGCAGTTCTTGTAAATTGGTGCAATGTTTAAAAAATTAATAAAGTTTAATTTACGCATAAGAAATATTTGTGCCGAAGACAGTGGCCGCGCGGTGTAAGGCATGAAATTGTTTTCCCGCTCAAACACTGGGATCGTGGGTTCGATTCCTACTCGAGGCATGGATGTCTGTCCGCCTTTCTTCTGTATTTGTTTGGTCCTGTGTAGGAGGACAGGAGTCCTACCAACTATATAAGATCCAGAGTTGTAGACAAATTCAGATGGGGAACAGATCAAGGGGCCTAAAACGAAATGTATTTTTTTTATTGCTAGTGGGGTGGGAGTAAGTCTCTTGTACTGCGGCCACTTCTGGCCTATTGTACCAGCCCCAGATGATAGGTGAGGGTGATTGTGGAGCAATTTGTGGAATGAAGATTGGCAGGGGAAACCGAAGTACTCGGAGAAAACCTGCCATAGCGCCACTTTGTCCACCACAAGTCCCTCATGACCTGACCTGAGATCGAACCCGGACCGCCGCGGTGGGAAGCCAGCGACTAACCGCTTGAGCTATGGTGCGGCCCAAAATGAAATGTAGATGAAGATATATATATATATATGTTTTGTATGCTTCTCATATATATATATATATGTTTTGTATGCTTCTCAGAAATAAACGTCATTATTTCCCTAAATATAATTAACAGTCTGGTCTTGTAATACAGAAGCGATGTGGTTACTTTTATGGTGCAAGGTAAAGATATCCCTGTGTTTAATTGTGCAGTTAAGCACTATAGCATATAGATTAGTGGAGGTATAGCTCCAGCATTTTTGCTCTCGGCACTAGACGAATGTGAGTAGTCAGCTTCACGCCCCGGCTGATTTATCCCCAGGTAAAGAGCCTCCGATACCCATTGGATAGTAGTCTAGACGGGAATCAGTTGATATGGACCCTACGAAGATGAATCCCTTGCTCCTACCGGGAGTCGAACTCCGATCTTCCAGCCGTAGCCTAGTCGCTCTACTAAGTATTAATTTTAGGTCGTGCCATAGCTCAAGCGGTTAGACGCTGGATTCCCACCGCGGCGGCCCGGGTTCGATCCCGGGTCTGGTCAAGTGGGATTTGTGGTGGACAAAGTGGCGCTGGGGCGGGTTTTATCCTAGTACTTCGGTTTCCTCTGCCAATCTTCATTCCACCAAATTCCTCATCATCATAATCACCCGGGGCAGGCTACAATAGGCCAATCAGTGGCCGCCGTGCCGAGTGGACCCAGTTGGACTCCACCTCCCACTAAGCGAATTTAAGAAAAATATTATTTTTAGGCTAAATTCAGGCTTCGGCAAATTAAGATTAGTCGATCCCTCTTTATATTAATACAAGTCGTCATTCCCGGACTGTTGTTTCGTCAGGCTATGTAGCTCAGGTGAAAACGTACCACGAGTCTCCTGGGTGTCAGGATCTGCTTGCACGTGATTGGGTGGATGATGGCGAAGTAGCGCTCTGTGCAGATCACTACAAGGATGAAGATGGAGGCTGTGTAACTGAGACTGTGCACGAACTGGTACATCTTGCACAGCGTGTCCCCAAGCATCCAGCTGTAACACATGAGAAACGCATAGCATTCCCACAGAATATTTATATTACAGCTCCGTCAACAATGAAACCACTTTATTCCTTAGGATTTTCACTTTTTACATGTTTCGGGCCCAAGCGGCTATCATCAGGTACTTCTATTCAGTGCAGGTAACAGTTTTGGCGGATTGATGTACCTGATGATGGCCGGTTGGGGCCGAAACATGTAAAAAGTGAAAATCCTAAGGAATAAAGTGGTTTCATTGTTGCCGGAACTGTGATATAAATATTCTATGGGAATGTTATAGAAACGCAGCAAGAAGTTTAAATAGAATATTGAGAAACGTATAGTTCTATAGGCAAGTGGGAATAACTGGGAGGACAATATTAAAATGGACCTGAAAAAATAAGGTGTGAGATTGGAAACTGATTGACTTGGTTCCCTTAATAAACCTTTGGGTTGACTGTGTTTCTCAAGAACAAGTCTCCGTGGAATGAATTAATTAGCATTTTATTTTTTCAGTACAATACAGTACGCAATTTCTTTGTTACCTCTTTTCTATAGGGAAGGAAGTAGCTCTCCTGTAAGGAAGCTACTTAGCACTCAAAGGCATTCTATATTATCTGCGATATAAGCTGTGTTGTCCGTTGGAAGTCAGTCGACGTTTCGAAGGCGACATGTGGTCTCTATCTGAGCTCTTATTGCTACCTGCTTCATGCTGATTTATTGCTTAGCTTATCCTTCTAAAAAAATTAAATTCGCTTATTGGGGGGTGGAGTCCAACTGGGTCCACTCGTCACGGCGGCCACTGATTGGCCTATTGTAGCCTGCCCCGGGTGATTATGATGATGGAGAACTTGGTGGAATGAAGATTGACAGGGGAAACCGAAGTACTCGGAGAAACCCCGCCCCAGTGCCACTTTGTTCACCACAAATCCCACTTGACCAGACCCCGGGATCGAACCCGAGCCGCCGCGATGGAAAGCCAGCGACTAACCGCTTGAGCTATGTCGCGGCCTCAGCTTATCCTTCTAACCTGAAGATGTAGGTGACATATTCCTCCGAAACTTCGCTTGAATTTCAACAGACCACATGGTGTCATGTGCTAGAAGATATAATTCTTCATCACGGCCGCTCTCAGAACCTCAGAACTTCAGAACCTACATAATTTATGAAACTTAAAATTTAATCTTGCAAATATGTACGGTGGCCACAGATATTAGGGCGATGTGCAAGTATCTCTGGATGGGACTCGAATCGTTACTGCCAGTTTTATAGAAATATGAGAGTAACATTTAAGTAATTAATTAATTAATTTGACCGTTATTCCTTGTTTAAAGATTTAGCTACTGACTGTTGCGCTATTGACTAGGAAAGTGATCATTTATCGAGAAAAGTTCGGAAACTCCAGATTTTGTCTCATAAATTTCGTACATTTAAAAACCGAATAAATTCATTTTCGTTTTTTATGACCTTAAACCACATGACATTTTGTGACTGTTTACTAGAAATCAGGTCGCAAGTTATATTTATAAAATCCAACATGTCTGAACACACTGGTTCGCGATGAGAGAGAAATGAGATAATTTGCAGTCGACATATTATCAGTTTGTTCTGTCACCTGTTATTTTCACCATATAATTTTGACGCGTTAAAAGAAACTTCTATTAGGTCTCCATTTCTGCCTGTCAACCTGTCTCCTGATAGGAAAACAACTCGAGAACCCTTGAATGGATATTCTAGAAGCTCTATATTGGGGGATATTTATCTGATCAAAAAGAAGTATCTCTGAAAAGAAACAGAGAGATATGAAACATGATTTTAATGCCCAGTATACTTTTCCTGCCAATCTCAATTGGTCCTAGATAATTGAATAAAACAGACCAAAGACGCTATGCATACATTTCGTGACTCTTATTTTGTCATCAAATTCTTTCTTTTTAAATATTATTAAAACAGAATATTGTTAATGATCACGCTATGTTTTTATTATTAAAGTTTTCATGTAAAAGAACTTAGCAAGATATAATGCAAGTTATGTAACAAATAATATGAAACTTATCCAATTTGGGTCTGTGACAGTGCTGTAAAAACGTTTTTATAACCATAGACCACAACACTATATTCATTAATCAAAGTAGTATTCCATATATTGACCTACTTCTTTATCAAAGTATATGTCTATGTATTTTATGAGGGTCTTTATAAAAGGCTGGAGTTGGCTGAGCGAGATATTATGCTTCTGCCTACAAAACCTTCATGAAGGATGTTTGGCAGTTATGGTTCAGGCTAAGGTAATAATCACTAGTTAATAGATCACGTAATGACTTATGGAAGGTCATTATTTATGGCATATCCGATCCCACAAGCAACGAACGGGTCACAGTGATGTGATATAACTGTGAAATGAGAATGCCCATTTATCACGGTATATATGGGCTGCCTTGTAGAAGTGGTACAGGTTCGTAGATCATTTCACTGCGTTTTATAATCAGCTACATGAAAGTGTATTTCAGAATCTAGCAGTCATTCAACTGTTAAATAAATTCAGTTTTTTTTTCAATGGCTCTACAAACCTCTTGGGCCCTGACATTTAATTTTCAGTTTCTTGGTCATTTTACAGACGGTAGGACTCCTTGGACGGGTGATCAGCTCGTCACAAGGCCATTACCAAAACACAGGACAACACAAACGCAGAATAAACATACACATATCAAACATCCATGTTTTGTGTCGGATTCGAACCCACGATCCCGGCTTCCCGAGCGAGCGAAGACAGTACATGCCTCAGACCCCTCGGCTACCGTGACCGGCAGTGTATAAAAATAATATATAAGAATTCACTTCGTACCTCACAGGAAACAGATCGAACCCACGATCCCAGCTTCCGAGAGAGCGAAGACAGTACATGCCTTAGACCGCTCGGCTACCGTGACCGGCTAATTCCGTCTATGGAGCCCTAAAGAATTGCTGTGTGTAGGAAACATTGTCTCTTTGGATACTATCCTGGGCCTGATGAAGCCAATTAAAATAAGAGTCGGACAAGACATACGAGTATAGCACGTACGGGGAAAATAAATTCATAATGTTTTATTCGAAATCTTGGCTCGAACTTACCACCTAGAAGACCCAGGCATATAAATGGATAATATTAAATTGTATTCTGAAAAATGATGTAAGAGTGTGCTCTAAATGACGAGAAGGATCTCTTTGCCAATGGCCGGAATTGAACCTGGATTGTGCGCTCCGGAGCCACAAATATCAGTGTCTGGCCTACGTCTTCTCTGCGTCTGTTGGATTATTTAGAAGTTACTCCTGTTACTGTAGGGCAGAATGGAATGGCGATTTCTTTTAATTGGAAGGTTGTGGAGGAAAATGGTCGTGTCTGTTGTTAATCTAAGGTTACTCGGCTTCGTTCTGAAAAGACGAGCGCGGGATATCCCAGATGAGCGCCAGAGCACTATCGACAAACCCACGAATTACATTCCATATATAAGTCTTGCTAAAATATAAGAATCTTTGGCATGTGTTTCGCATTAATTTAATCCGCGGAAGAATGGAATTCATCTAAATAAAACAAAATTTAAATCCATATCTCATAAAAACACATTTCATCTCAATTACAAAAATCCAATCAGTTAATGTTATTTATGGAAACAGGAAGTTTTGAAAAAAAACGAGACGAACCGAACGACACGTCCAACAGTTCTTTTATTGTTGCATGTATATTTTTTGCCGCGGTAACGTTTTTACCGAGCCGTTGCGTAGAAATGGTAAGGGGATACATATGTAGACACACAGACGGATGGAATGGTTTTATGAAGTATGCCGTTCAGGTAGGTTCAGGTGCCATGATATAAATATCAGATTTCATGAAGATTGGTTCACTCATTCAACGTTTAAAGGGGGGATAAGTAGACACAGTATGGTGATCTCATTAGCCTACTTTTATTTTTTCAAAACAAGGGAAGTATTGTGACATGACGCCAGAACGCCTGAAGCGTGCAGTCCGAGAAGCACCGCAGAGACGTCCATTACGCGAGAACGGCTCGCTAGACATATTTCCGCAACAACGAATAGGCACACTGTGATAGAGGGAACTTCTGGAGGTGATAATCTCTATTCGGGGGTTCCCCACGTCATAAAGAGTGGTCACGTGAGAACGTTCAGTTCATTTCAGTTCCGTAGTTGTAAGAGAACTGAGACGGGAGGTAGTCCTCTGCAGTAGATTGATTGTTAGTTATTGAATGACTGTGATTTCGAGTGATTGTAAAAAAATGTGTCAAAAAATCCAATAATCCAACCCAGAACCCGTTATTTTTAGTCACGGAACCCCGGACACGTGACGTTTTGGTGTCAGAAGTGGCTACGACAATATACATGACCGGGGCCCCGCCATAGCTCAAGCAGTTAGTAGCTAGCTTCCCACCGCGGCGGCCCGGGTTCCATCCTAGGTCTGGTCAAGTGATTTGTGGTGGACAAAGTGGCGCTGGGGCGGGTTTTCTCCGAGTACTTCGGTTTCCCCTGCCAATCTTCATTCCACAAAATTCTCCATCATCGTAATCATCCGGGGCAGTTACAATAGGCCAATCAGTGGCCGCCGCATCGAATGGACCCAGCTGGACTCCACCCCCCCCCCACTAAGCGAAAATATACGTGACAGTATGCTAATAATTACTGTTTATTTTCAGACTCATACGAAACTCATAGAACTAAATACATTATTTGAACAAAACGGATGGGCTTTAATGTAAGATTTGATGTCCTCACAGTTGTCACCATAAAGATTGTGGTGACGCAGTATGGGTGGAAATCCATATATAAAATCCTGGGGCTTCGCGTAACAGATGTTAGCGAAATGAGAAAGTCTCTCAATGTTACAAGAGGCGAAAGGTTTTACCGCCCTAATTTAGAGGGATGAATCCTCTGAAACAACGAATCTGATAATTACTCTGTCCAGTGTAAAGTTAATTTAACTTTTCTGACAGTGAGTTCTGAGTGGAAGTGAGAATGAGGTGGAGC